TTCTCAAGTCCTACCTCTTCTAAAGCCTTGTAAATAGTTTCATACATCATTTGCATTGTGTTATTCTGTAAATGAAAAAAAAAATTCTTAATGTATTAATCAATCCCACATCAATTTTCAATCTCTTTAATGAAATGAGGGTGTTGAATTTAACCTGCCAAAATAGAATTCTTTGGGTGGAAATACTTGTAGGAGCACCCTCTGGCCACATTGGGATGACGATATATGCTGAAAACCTCTCCATTGCTCTGATTTTGTTAGCAATCTTCAGAGCAATTTCCATAGGTATCAAATTGTTTGCACCTGGAAGTAAAAATGTATATATTTAATTTTCGTTGTTCATACATTATCGAGTAATTTAGGTACTAATTATTCGATACTCAATAAGATTTTCTTACCCAAGTCTTTGTATTTTGTCCAATTGTACGATGAACCAAGGAAGTACTGGTTTTCGATGTAAATGAAATGTTGGGCGCTACGAATTGCCTTGACATAAGCTGTATGTATGCTCATGTCTATCAGTAAATTCTTCCCACATACCAGGTTCTGTTTCAATGTCGCAAGCGTGTAACATCATTCATTAGCATCGTGTTATTGACGGCACTCTAACCGATGAAAATAGATTAAGAGCCGAATGTGTTTACCTTGTTTGGGGCCTCTTTTGGCTCATTAGGAAAACCTTTAACCGAATTGGAGTCGATTGAACGAAAAACCTAAAAAATTGCGATAAATTGGTTTGAAGTTAGAAGAACATAATACAGTTCAAAATATGGGAGTTGAGGGAAGAAAAACTCAATTTTATCATACCTGGACATGCCAAGTCTCTGGATCATCTAGCCTTTGGTTAGTAACCTCTTCTATTCCTAATATATCGGGTATTCTATCGAGTTTGAGCAAGTTATCGTCATGTGATGCTTTCAATTTCTGTACGCCATGGGGGTTTGACGCCTTTAACCAACGCTCCTCAAAATTAGTTAAGACATCATATGCAGCTGGACCATCAATTCGACAATGTAAATCGTGCCACGGCTCTCTTGGACAATCAATAGCAAGCCCCTTTTCCGTTACAACATACATGAATAAGCAAAAATTACTAGATGATATAAGTGTGAGGCGGATCACGTAAATCCACTTGGCACATGATCATTGGCCTTGTGTGCTTGGAAAGGATTGTGCTAGTTGATGTGTATTATGGACTATAGATTAAATCCATTGTGGACATTAAATCCATTGTGGGCAATTACCCTACTTCCTGTCTCTTTCATTGTACAATATTTGAATTTGAATTCAAATGGTTTTAACTCTACGATTATATGTGTGTTTATCTGTTTCACTTGGACTTGGAGAGTTGGGATACTAGATAAAAAAAAACATAGAGAGTAACTAAGTAGGAAAGGTTCATATATAGACGAAATCTTGGTTGCTTCCATATGTTTTTCTCTGTATATCCATTGACATTCCTATGGACAACGGTGCATTGAATCCGGTGTAGGACCAAGCTAAGTTCAATGTCACAATACACATTGATAGTGAGGTTGAAGAAGATTTGAGTCGATTAATTTGGATTTTGTACACTGACAGTTTGTTTTCCATATTGTAGTTTAACAAATCATTGTACACT